CATATAAGTGATATCACGTGATATTTGTCTTTCTCTGTCTGGCTTACATCACTTAGTATGATAACCTCTAGGTCCATCCATGTGCTGCAAATGGCATTATTTCATTCTTTTTATGGCCAAGTAGTACTCCGTCGTATATATGTACCACATCTCCTTTATCCATTCATCAGTCAGTGGGCGTTTGGGTTGCTTCCATGTAAACAGAGCTGCAGTGAACACGGGGGTGCATGTATCTTTTTCAATTATGTTTTTCTCTGGATATATGCCCGGGAGTGGGATGATACTATAAAACTCCTAGAGGAAAACATAGGCAGAACACTCTTTAACATAAATCGTAGGAATATCTTTTTGGATCTGTCTCCTAGAGTAATAGAAATAAAAACAAAAATAAACAAATGGGGTCTAACTAAACTTAAAAGTTTTTGCACAGCAAAGGAAACCATAAACAAAATGAAAGAACCTACAGTATGGGAGAAAATATTTGCAAACGATGCTACCAACAAGGAATTAATCTCCGAAGTATACAGACAGCTCATGGAGCTTAAAAAAAAAGGAAAGAAAGAAACAACCCCATCAAAAGATGGGCAGAAGACCTAAACAGACATTTCTCCGAAGAAGACATACAGGGGCTTCCCTGGCAGTGCAGTGGTTAAGAATCCGCCTGCCAATGCAGGGGACACTGGTTCTAGCCCTGGTCCGGGAAGTTCCCACATGCCGCGGAGCAGCTAAGCCCATGCACCACACTACTGAGCCTGTGCTCTAGAGCCTGCGAGCCACAACTGCTGAGCCCGCGTGCCACAACTACTGAGCCCGCATGCTGTAACTACTGAAGTCCATGGGCCTAGAGCCCATGCTCCGCAACAAGAGAAGCCACTGCAATGAGGAGCCCGCGCACCGCAACGAACTGGGCCCTGCTCACTGCTACTAGAGAAAGCCCACATGCAGCAATGAAGATCCAGTGAAGACAAAAAATAAATAAAATTAAATAATTTTAAAAAGACATACAGATGGCCAAAAGGCACATGAAAAGATGTGCTAATTATTAGAGAAATGCAAATCAAACCTACAATGAGGTATCACCTCACACCAGTCAGAATGGCCATCTTCAAAAGGTCTACAAATAATGAATGGTAGAGAGGGTGTGGAGAAAAAGGAACCCTCCTACACTGTTGTTGGGAATGTAAATTGGTACAGCCACTATGGAGAACAGTATGGAGCTTCCTTTAAAAACTAAAAATAGAGCTACCATATGACCCTGCAATCCCATTCCTGGGCATATATTAGGAGTTTTATAGTATCCGGTCTTACATTTAGGTCTTTAATCCTTTTTTTTTTTTTTTTTTTTTGCGGTACGCGGGCCTCTCACTGTTGTGGCCTCTCCCACTGCGGAGCACAGGCTCCGGACGCGCAGGCTCAGCGGCCATGGCTCACAGGCCCAGCCGCTCCGCGGCATGTGGGATCTTCCCGGACCGAGGCACGAACCCGTGTCCCCTGCATCGGCAGGCGGACTCTCAACCACTGCGCCACCAGGGAAGCCCCATGGTCTTCAATCCATTTTGAGTTTATTTTTGTATATGTTATTAGAGAATGTTCTAATTTCATTATTCTACATGTAGGCGTCCAGTTTTCCCAGCACCACTTACTGAAGAGACTGTATTTTCTCCATTGTGTATTCTAACCTCCTCTGTCATAGACTAAATTGACCATAAGTGTGTGGGTTTATTTCTGGGCTTTCTATCCTGTTCCATTGATCTATATTTCTTTTTGTGCCGGTACCATACTGTTTTGATTACTGTAGCTTTGTAGTATAGTCTGAAGTCAGGGAGCGTGATTCCTCCAGCTCTGTTCTTCTTTCTCAAGATTGCTTTGGTTATTCAGGGTTTTTTGTGTTTCCATACAAATTAAAAATTTTAAATTCTGTGAACTAGAACAAATGAAAAATGCCATTGGTAATTTGATAGGGATTGCATTGAGTCTGTAGATTGCCTTAGGTAGTACAGTCGTTTTAACAATATTGATTCTTCCAATCCAAGAACACAGTATATCTTTCCATTTGTTTGTGTGGCCTTCAGTTTCTTTCATCAGTGTCTTATAGTTTTCAGAGTACAGGTCTTTTGCCTCCTTAGGTGGGTTTATTCCTAGGTATTTTATTCTTTTTGATGTGATTGTAAATGGGTTTCCTTAATTTCTCTTTCTGATATTTCATTGTTAGTGTATAGAAATGCAACAGATTTCTGTATATTAATTTTGTACCCAGCAACTTCACTGAATTCATTGATGAGCTCTAGTAGTTTTCTGGTAGCATCTTTAGGATTTTCCGTGTTTAGTATCATGTCATCTGCAGTGAGTTTTACTTCTTTTCCAATTTGGGTTCCTATTATTTCTTTTTCTTCTCTAATTGCTGTGGCTAGGACTTCCAAAACTATGTTGAATAAAAGTGGTGAGAGTGGGCATCCTTGTCTTTCTTGTTCCTGATCTTGGAGGAAGTGCTTTCAGCTTTTCACTATTGAGTATGATGTTAGCTGTGAGTTTGTCATATATGGCCTTTTTTGTTTTTTTTTTTTAATTTTTATTGGAGTATGGTTGCTTTACAATGTTGCATTAGCTTCCACTGCACAACAATATCAATCAGCCATACACATCCAGATATTCCCTCCCTTTTGGACTTCCTCCCATTTATATGGCCTTTATTAAGCTGAGGTATGTCCCCTCTATGCCCACTTTCTGAAGAGTTTTTATCATAAATGGGCATTGAATTTTATCAAAAGCTTTTTCTGCATTGTTGTAAATAATGCTGCTATAAACATCCCTGTACAAGTTTTTGTTTGAACACCTGTTTTCACTTCTTTTGGGTATATATCCAGGAGTGGAATTGCTGGGTCGTGTGGTAATTCTGTGTTTGACTTATTGAGAAAGCAAACTCAATCCACGTTGTCTTACTTTGTCGTCTGCTGATGGCAGTGTGGACGGCACCAGCCGGGGGCTGCTTAGCTGCCTAGCTCTTCAGACCAAAAAGCCAGTTCTTCTTCCTGCCCTCAACACATGGAACCACTCACCCCCCTCTCTTCTGTCCAGATCCCACAGCAGCCCCACGGAGACAGGCAGGGAATCAGGGCAGGGCCACTCAGGGCTGCGGTGCTGGGGCTCTGCTTGCTCCAGGCCAGCAAGAGGGCCAGGATGAGGGTCGAAGGACCCCCTCACCCAGATCACGGGCTGTGCATCTATCCCCAGGGCAGCCTGGCTCCCGCAGGAATGGAGAAGTGCCCGAGTCACTGCCTCCAATGGGCTCTGCTATTTTTATGTCCAAGTCTGGTTAAAAATAGCCGTCCTAAGCCAAGGTTTTAGCTGCAGCTGACAAGACATTAAGCATCAGATACCTAATGCCCACGGGTCTCTTCCTGTGTTCATTTTCTGTTTCTACAAGATGTTTAACAAGAAAGGGGGCTTCCCTGGTGGCGCAGTGGTTGAGAATCCGCCTGCCAATGCTGGGGACACGGGTTCGAGCCCTGGCCCGGGAGGATCCCACATGCCACAGAGCAACTAAGCCCATGCACCACAACTACTGAGCCTTTGCTCCAGACCCCGTGTGCCACAACTACGGAAGCCCGCATGCCTAAAGCCTGTGCTCCGTAACAAGAGAAGCCACCGCAATGAGAAGCCCGCACACCGCAACGAAGAGTAGCCCCCGCTCGCCGCAACTAGAGGAAGCCAGGGCACAGCAATGAAGACCCAATGCAGCCAAAAATAATTTTTTAAAAAAAGAAAGCAGGTAGGAAACAGCCATGAGGAAAGCCCCTAACAACATCTCCATCCCTGCCCCCCTGGGCGCTCCAACAAAGCCCAGCCCAGTGTTCTGGGCACTCAGAGGCCAAGAGCGCCACTGCCCGCGGGCCCCCTTCCTGCGGAAAGTGAGTCTGAGTGATGGTGCCGCCCAGACCAGCCGGTGCCTGGGCAGTGCCTCCCTGTCCCCTGGGCCAGGCGGGCGGAAGCACAGTTGTGCCGACCTCCCCTGCCGTCAGACCCTTGGCATCCCGTCCAACGCCGAGAGCAACAGCCACCCAGGGAGCCTGGCCCGCCCGCCCCCAGCGCCGCCCTGGGGAAATGAAGGCGTTCAGAGCACAGGGAGCAGGGCCTTCTCCTCTCACCTCCCAGCGCGGAGAGCGCCGATGAGGCACGAGGCGCAGCGCGGGACTGTGCCGGCCGCTGAGTCTCCCAGCTCCTCCATCTGCGGCATCTGAAGTGCGTTCAGTGCCCAGCCAGGCGCCTGAGGACGGGCGCGGCTCCTCCCCAGCAGGTGCGCAGCCACCCCGCGGGCACTGGGCACTCCGGGCCCTCCGACTGCTCAGCAGGTGGGAAGAAGCCCCGCTGGGCCAGCAGGGCCACATGGCTCCTGGGCAGGGGAACGCGCTCCTGCGCCGCACACTGCCAGCCACACAGGTAGAAGCACCGCTGACCCTCCCTCCCACTTCCCGGCCTCCAGGAAGCTGACGTCCAACCGGTTCTAACAGCGGGACCCGCGACAGGCAGGGCCGAGCCGGGACTCACAGAAGACATTTCTCTCATCGTCGTCGTAGTCAGGTACCATGTGCGGGGAAGAGTCTCCACTTACCACTGGACGCAGCACCCCCAGGGCTCCGTGTTGCCACCAGAGAGAACTGATAAACAGTCATCAGAGCCCCGTGCTGTGACATCCCCCTGCTGACATCTAAAGCCCAGCGACTGGTCCTCAGCCTCAGGCCAGAGGGCGGTGGCCGTGCCGCACTGCGGCTCCCTGCCCTGTACTGCCCCACAAGCAGGTTCTCAGGAGCCCGGCAGCGCCTGAACCTCGGGCCCTGGCTCCCCCAGGGCTTTGGTTCGGGACCGCAGCCCAGCACCATCTCTCCCAGCCTCATCCTCTCTGTGCCCTGGCCTGGAAACACCTGTGAGGCCCAGGGGCTGCCGGGGAGACTCCCCCACCTGGGCCCCCTGCTAACCGCCTGTCTTCTTTTCGGTCCTTCCAGTGAGAAGCGCCACCTTCAAGTCAACGTCACCAACCCTGTGCAATGCAGCCTGCACGGGAAGAAGTGCACCGTCTCCGTGGAGACACGGCTCAACCAGCCGCAGCCCGACTTCACCAAGAACCGCTCGGGCTTCATCCTCAGCGTGCCGGGCAACTGATGCGCAGGGAGGTGGGGCCATCCGAAGCCCGCCCGCTAGGCTCCACGCTGGGAGGGGCCCCCACCTCCCCTGCGGCCCCTCCCCGAGGCCCACCCCCTGCTTTCTGCCTTTGGCCTCCGTCTTCCTCCGTCCCAACTGTCCGCAGACCCCTCAGCAAACCAAAGACCCCATGTCCTGCCCAGCCCCTAGCCACCGCCCCACCCCACCCCCCACCCCCGACTACAGCTCCCCTGCAGTCAGAGAAGGCCGCCCGCTGCCAGGCCAGGTCAGCCTGCCTGACCCCGTGACCAGCAGCTGGCCCTGCAAGGCGAGGGCTTGGGGAGCCCGGATGCAGTTTCTAGCCAAAGCCATGCCCCCGGGTCGGGGGAGGTTTGGGGGAGATGAGCTGGGGAGGTAGCCCTGCTCTCTCCCTGGGCCCAGCTGCCCTCTCCCCAGGGTGATGGCAGCCCCATGCCCTGGCTCAGGGAGCTTCTCAGAGCTCCTCGTGGACCCCCTCCCCACCAGCAGCCAGCCAAGACCACCAGGTGAGCAGGTTCACCTGTAGGGCCAGCCCCTCAGCCCAGGAGCCAAGGGCCGGCAGTCTGTCCTGCCCAGAGCCTGCCCCCAGCCCCGCGGCCACCTCCCCAGAGAGCGCAGCACAGGGGATGCTCCAGGGATCATCTTACTTAACCGCACAGCCTGGGCCGTGGTTGTCCTGCACTTACTTTTGCAGTTTGCTAATCAGATATCATGTCTGCTGTGCCCACACTCGTGTCAGGAACGCTAATTAATAAAATAGAATGGGGGGTGGGGAGCAGGGGAGCAATCCGGGGTTTGGAAGTTGCCCCTCCAAACACCTCTGCCTCACACTCACGTGGAGAACCAGGACTGGGGTGGGAGGGCCTGAGCCCCAGGAACTTGGGGAAGTGGAGCGACAGAAACAGTGCGGGGATCCTGGCACTGCAGGCCAGGCCAGGAGAGCCGCCGCCTTGCCAGTCCCTGCCCGGCAGAGAGCGCGTGTGCTCCAGATGCTTCCGGGACCACCCTCCTCTGAGGCTCAGCCGAGGAGGACGCCACACACCCCCTGGGCAGCCCGGGCCTCCCGGCCTGGAGCCTTAGAAAAAGGAAAGACTCAGGCACCCCGTGTGGTCAGGGGGCTGAGGGTGAGCCCACGCCCCAGGAGGAGCCGAGCAGGACGTCAGAGAGGGACGTGCTGACGTTTTCTCCGCTTTCTGCCAGAGGCTCCCCCTGCCACCCCGACCCCACAAAGCATACCAGGTGCCACCTCCTGTGCCTGCCACGTCCCCCTGGCCGGCTCCCAGGTGGTCCCAGCAGCTTGGTCTCGCGCCTGCCCCACCCCTGCTTCCCAGGGCTCGAGCACATTCTCACCCCGTGCAGTGCACAGCAAAGAGTCCCGCCGGCATCCTGGCCTTGGAAACCCATTCATCCTCCAAGCCTGGTCAGCTGCCCGCACAGGACCCCGTTCAGCAGCGCCCATAGCTTTGCCAATCGCCTTGACACTATCGATCCATCTTAACTGGAACATCACCTCTCCTTTCCACTCGTTTCCCCAAACTTGTTGCTTTACTAGATACATGGAAATGTATGTTTTAGACACACCAAAAAGAACATGCCAAACAAGTGCCGTTCAGAGGCTGGAGAGGACGGGGGCTGGAGTCCTGCCCTCCCACCTTTTGGTGTCGCCTCTGGTCCCTGAGCCCTCAGCCGGAGCACCACCGCCGTCCACAAGCACTTTTTCATGATGTCCTACAGAAAGTCACAGTGTGTGGCAACTGAAGAAAGAATTTCGGGTGTGATCACAGCGCTGAGGGGAAGGCAGGAGGACACAGTGATTGTATGCGATGAAGTGTTTCTCTTGATTTAATTAAATGCAGTTTTATGGTTTGGTGCGTATATTCCTATTTTCCATTAAATTAACTTTATTTCTAAAGCATATTTTGATTTATCATCAAGAGCAATAAAGCATTAAATCTTACGTTTAAAGGTGTTCTGCTTTTTGAATTGAAAACTGTATCTACAGTTGTGAAATTTTGGCTTCTATAAACTGTTATCCCAGAGGATGGAAGGGAGCATTAAACACAAATCAGGTAAAAATGGAGGATAGTTTACGTGGGGCTGTTGATGAAAAGTATTCAATGGTGAGTGAGAAGCTGGGGGGAGGCGGAGCCAGGAGGCAGACAGGCAGTGGAATTAAATCCAAACACTTTCTCCCACCATTTTGAGGCCTGTGCACTAGACTTGAAGCTCATTGCTTTCACGTTTACTGAGATCGAAGCACGTATAAAGGCAAGGCTGGGATCTCCAGGGCTGCAGTTGGAGGAGAGGTCTGGGTGAGCCGTGGCTGGTCAGCCTCTCCCCGAGCCCTCAGGTTGGGGTCGGGGAGCTGCAGACAAGCAAGGCCCTGCGGGGAGATGGGGCATCCCCAGCACCCAAGGGCCCCGCAGCCAGAGGATGCTACCGGGTCCCCGGTTACTGGCGGGACGGAGCCCGCAGTGATGGCTTCTGACTCAGACAAAGGAGGTGCCCTGATCACAAGGCTGACAGCTTCCACGGTGCCACCTGAGCAGGTGCAACGCGTCCCACCCCCAGGCCCAGGGCAGCTCCAGCCAGCGGGGGACAGGGCCAAGGGGGTTGGGGGGGGACCAAGTCCAAAACGCCAGGTCCCAGCAGCTCAGGGTGGTGGCGTGAGTGGGCACAGACCGCTGGCAGTACAACCAGTAGGGGGCCCCACCCTTGCCACAATTAGGGGCTAGGGTGGCTGCTTATCCGGGAGCCCCGGGGTTGGAGTTCTCTCTTTCAGAAACCTGCACAGAGCTAGGCTGGTGGGGTTGAGCCACATGGACCCCTGCTGGCCTGGGAGCCTCTGGGCCGTGGACCACAAGCAGAGCCAGGCCCAGGACACCTGGAGCCGCAGCCTTAGTGCCAAGCCGGCTGCCCTGCAGGACCCGCTGAGCCAGACCTCGCCAGGCCATGCCTGGGTCCGACCCTCTGGCTGGAGGTCCCGGTCACCCAGCTCCGCCAAGCCAAGGGAGCCTTTGGAAAGCAACTCCTGAGAAACCAAAGTTGACTTAACCTGTGCTTCTTTCTTAATCACCTTAACATGAACGCGCTTGTTAAGGCCTCTCCCCTAACCCTCCCTCCTCCCATACTCCCCTCCCCCACAATGCAATCCAATTATGTTTTGAGCGCAGGAATCATTTATAAGAGGGGCCCCCAGCCTGCTCGTGAAGGATGTGCCCACAGAAAAGGTCTATGTAATGGATGGTCAGTGCATTTTATTTACTCAGCACAGTACAAAAATAAATAAAAATAAGGGAAGGGGAATTAAATTACAGCCAAACTGAGCTTCATGACCTTGTCAGATTATAAACCACACATACTTACAAACACGCTACGCATACATACAAAATGAGACAAATATAAATTAATATTAACAACACCCACAGTTTGGTCAAAGAATAGCTACAGAAGAAATTGCACTAAAAAACCAACATACATCGCACGTGTGTAATTAGCAGTTTCAAATATACAGCTATGAATAATTCCGAGTGAAAAAAAATGGCACATTTTCTTTTCATTGCAAGTTTAACAACGGCTGGAACAAAACTAAGTTCTAATAACTGCATGGAAAGAATATATCAACCCTTCAGGTTTACAAGAAAGAGAAAAACCAAATCCTGAACTATTATTCCTGTGACTTGTTCTGTGCACGGGTGTAATTTTCACAGCCATCTGTTCTAAGATTATTTTTCTTAAGACACAAAATGCTCCTGGTTTGCATGCACAATATCACTGTAAAAGCAACAATGAAAGAATAAAGGGTGTTTTTTTTGTAGGTTAGTTTTTTCCTTTTTTTTTTTAATTGTTCTAAAAGTAGTCTTCATAGCAGCATCTCAAATGGGTTCATTGCTTGCACACTCAAGTATATCAGTTCCTCTACACAATACTGATGACCAGTGCAAGGGAGGGAGGAGACCCCACCAGGCTTCACATTGATGGAACTAGAGAGTTCTTTTCTTAGTCCCCAACCACTCCTGAAATTTGCACCGCCTCCGAAACTTAAAAAAATAAATATGGAGAGAAGGAAACGCACAGAACTGGAATCCTGCGGATGCACCTTCCCGCAGTTTCAGGCCCAGCGCAGCCCGCGGAGGAGCGACTACAGACCCGCGCCCCTGCTCTTGAGAGTCGGCACCCGGACCCCCCTCTCGTGTGCCGCCAGGGCCCGCTGCCCCCACGGGCCTCCTACCTCAGGTCACACATGGCAGCAGGATCTGCACAGACGGGCTGGGTGACAACTCCAGCAGAGAAGAGGCGCCGCGGCGAGGTCCGCGCCAGCAGCCGCGGGTTCCTTCCAGCCCCGCGGCAGGTTATCTGGCTGGCGGTCCTGAGAAAGGCTCAGCGTGGGCCGCGGGGCGCAGCTGCGGCCAATGCTCTCCGGCTCGGGCAGGCCCTCTTCCTCGGGAGCACCACGGGCCCGCAGGCTCAGCTCTGGGCCTATTAAATCGGGACCTCAATTTCACAGCTTTTTCTTTTTTCTGTGAATTTCAGTAGTGCTTCTGCTGAAATCGGCAGCCACCTGGAAGCTAATCCTATGTAAAACCGCCCCCTGCCTCCCCCCAGCCTCCCCTTCCAGCACCCCCTGGGGGACTGGGACTGGAAGAGAGAATTCTCTGTAGCATCTTCGCATCAGTCTTTGTTCCCCAAAGCCGAAGGGACAGAGGAAGGCTTGCTCCCTTCTCTTGGTCCTCTCCCAAGCCCCAAGCCACCGATCTGGGAGAATTAGAAAGAAAATTGATTAAGTACACATCATGTGTTTTTACAGCCACCAACCAGGCTAAGGTGGAAACAGCAGCTGCAATTGATCAGCTGTAGAATCAGCAGGCAATCAGGAGTTCTGCTCCCGGCTTGTAATTGTCTCCAAGATCCAGCTGTCCCACTGGCCCTTTCGGAACAAGGCTTCACCTTCAGAAGAAACTGAACTGTTTGGGAACAGCTTTAAATCAACAGGGGTGAGGGCGGGGGTACATCATCACCACATCACCCTGATCCCTGACATCACCCCCCACCGCCCCGCAGCTCTGCAGGACAAATGTCACGTGCACCAGCAAGAGGCCTTAGCCCTTAGGTGGGCACCGGCTCAGTCCCAGGCATGGCAACCCCACCTGCCCAGAAGGCAGGCTGTTGACAATGGGCACCTGAAGCTGTCCTGGCCTTCACCACAGGGTGACTAAGCTGCATGATTCAAATGAAAAATTCACCCAGGAAAGGAGTTGTCCCCAGCTTCACCCCACCCCTTTAGAGCTGGGACCCAAAATGAAAGAACTTAATGAGTCAAACCAGCTTGTTAACCAACACTGCCAACACCGCTGGGAGCAGGGGGAGGGGGGCGAGTTCCACGTCTCCACAAAAGGAAAGCCCTTGTCCCTAAAAAAGAAAAAAGAGCAAACCGGGTCGTGCATGGTCAAACGACAGGACACAATCTTTGCACCAGGCCCGCTTCCCCTCAATTGAAGAGGCTGTCCCAGGGCCACGGGCATCTTGCCTCACAACCCCACATGCGGCTCAGTCAGGGTGGCTGGCTCCAGGAGCCTCTGGGAGAATGGAGGACCCAAAACGGGACCCGGAAAAGGGCCTCCAACCAGGAACTCTGGGCTGGCTGGCTGTGGGGAGCAGAGGGCAGCCTCCCCTGCCTTGGTCCAGCAAGAGCACAGGCGGCAGAGGCAGGTCAGTCCTTTGAATTCCCCAAAGTGAAAGGTCAGGAGCCAGGGTGTCTCTGAATACGTCTTCCGAATTTTGCACAAGGTTCGGGAGTTCAAAAGCATCCAGAGTTCTTGGCAGGGCTGAAGAAAACCCCAAGGAGAGAAGGTGGGAAGGGAGAGGCCCTTCGTGGCTTCGCTAGACACATACTGTACACAAAATCTGATTTAATAATAAATTTTTAAAAATGAATTGAATCCTTGAGCCGTGATGCAGGCTAGCAGGCTCACCGGTCCAGCCCTAGGAGGAGCCGCTTCTTGTCCTCCTGGCCACTCTCGTTCTTCAGGTCGGAGAACACCTGTGTGAAGTAGTGGGGGTCGGCGTTGATCTGCAGCATCTTGGAGCTCATGAGGTTGATGACGGAGAGGCAGCGGTCCCAAAAGGCCTCCTTGCAGCTCTCCACCAGGAAGGGCTTGAGCGGGTAGGAGATCTCATTGCCCATGTAGGAGTAGGAGAGGTACAAGCAGGTCAGCAGGACGGCCTGGAGCTCGTGGTCGGAGCCCACCTCAGAGGAGATGACATCCCGGCAGAGCATGTAAAGGAAGACCACGTTGGCGGGCGTGATGAAGCCCTGGTCCTGCCAGCCCTGCAGAAGCAGCGAGCGGTCCACGCTGCGCAGCCAGAGCACAGGGTCCGTGGGGGACAGGTGCTTCAGGCGGTAGCACCGGCGACAGAGAAACTCACCCAGGCAGCGCAGCAGCTCGCTGGTGGACGCCTGGACGATGACCCGTTTGGGCGTCCCTGCGGAGGTGACGGCAGGATGCGGGGCCTTCTTGACGGAGGAGGAGACCCCGGTCTGGGAGCCCGAGAGCTGGCTGGCAGGGGGTGCGGGCGGCTGCGCCGGTGGGGGCTGGGCGAACGTGGACAGGTTGGCGCACGACAGCGACTTCTTCAGGTTCTCATTGTTGAGGTGCGTGATGTTGTTCTGGTAGCTGCTGTTGGGCTGCACCTTCTTGGAGTTCTTCTTCTTGGCCGACACGGCCACGATCCTCTTCCAAGGCAGCACGGAGATGATAGAGTGCCGCTTCAGGTTCTTGTCCTTGGCGTTCTTGCTGTTCTGCACGGCCGTGTAGTGGCCCACTGTGGCCGCGCCATCCTCAAACAGCGTGGCCTTCCGGTAGCTGGGGGACAGGGACAGCACCGTGCCCATGGTGCCGCTTCGCGCCGGGCGGGTACCTGCGCCCCTGCGCGCCCAGCCTGCCGGCTGGAGGGACGAAACAGCTCACCG